TCGTTTATGATTTTCTTTCGTATGAATAATTCATTTGGGAGCCTCATCGGAAGAAGGAGAGGAGCGGAGCTGAAGCGTCACGGAAAATACGATCGCCAATCAAGGAAGACCTTGAAGGGGCAAGGAGCCAGCAATTTGGAAATCCAAAACATCTAACGGCCAAACTAGCTACGTCACGACGGGATCAGGACACGCACACGTGATGCGCAACGCACGGGACAGCGAGGGGATCCTCGCGCAAGGACACAGGCCCATGCGGATCCGGTCCCCGAGGAGGGACTGCAAGTCTGCACCCGATGGCGTGACGCGGTCCCGGAAAAGACGGAAAGAAGGGTGGCAGCGATACTTCCGGCCAAACCGTTCACCTCAGACCCCGCGACGGCCCCGCGAAAAAGGCCCCAGCGAATTATTGTTTGTAATACCGGGGGCGCGCGCACCCCCGTTACGACCGTGAGCGCGCCGCCCGCCGGCCACAGCGCGTGATTGGTCGCGATAATACGCACCCTGTGTGCGCAGCCCCGGCTGGCCCACAGGTATCGATTCTGGATCGCGACGATCCAGGAAGAGACTGGCGCGAGCTTGCGTGCGAGATAGAAGCGTAAGCGAGAGGACCGTTTTGGCGAGAGAAAATACGAGAGCGATAGCGAGACGAGAGCGAGCGGAGAGGATCCCGGCGATCGGAGCTGCGAAGGACGGACCCGAGGGAGAGGACGTCAACGTCGCTGACCCCGTGTAACCACCACGAGAGGAAAAGTACCGGTGAGGTTATCCTCCGCCATATTCGCCACTCGCGATCGCGCCCGGAATCGTTTCGTTCTGTCGTCGTCGCCGTGAATTCGTACTTTGGTGTACGGGCTAAGCCCGATTCTTTGGTGTAGATTTTCGCGTCACGGCCACGTCGTCAAGCGATTCGAGCCCCGGAGCCTCGAAAGTATCGGTTTCCGCGGATCGAGACATTACCTCGCGTTTTTAATAAACCGTGTGTCGTCTCTCTGGAGATTCGGATTCCGTAGATTATATTTGCGTTGGTTCTCGCACGTCTAGCGTTTAAGATTCGTTCGTACTGTATGTCGGTCGTTTGAGTGTGAGTGTGATTCGCGTCAATTTGTTATATTATTTATGTCTTTCGTTTGTGAATCTTCGCGTCGAAACTGTGCGTGCACGTCCGGTGCAACTTTCCTTCGCGATTATTATATGGGTTACATGAGAGTGTGAATCGCGTAAATTCGACGTATTATATCGGCTGTAAAGCACCGCGTCTCGAAATTGTGAGCGCGTTTTGTGAGAGTTTCCTCGCGATTCTTGCATGAATTGCGTGCGTGTGTGTGTCGAATATTCAATTCTGCGTAATCTGTCCGTCCGAAATCGAAGCATGTCCGCGTTGTATTAATTGCCTGTTAATCTTAAGTTGCGTATTAATAATTTGGCGGTAATAGCGGGCGATAAGGTCGCCGTTGGCGAGGTGATATCGAGAATTGATTCGGACTTACGCCCGAATTATAGACGAACGTAATAATCAATTTCTTCGCAGTGCGAGGCGTAATTCAAGCCGAGCGGAGATTCCGGCCGATCTAACGGGTCGGTCTCGGCGTACGCAGTACGGGGTTTCGCGCCCCGCGTCTAACACCCAGTCTCGCAGCCGCGTTTCTTTTACCGCAGCCGTATATCCGCGCGGTTTATCATTACTATTCTCGAGGAGCTGCGGCTCCCGCTATTATAATAAATCTGTTAATTTCTCTGTTTAATTTACGAGTTTCCTTTCAGTTGTGCTTGTCGTTTCCGTAATTGTCGCCTCTTGCATAAATTATCGCGTTCGATCAACACTCGCCCTGCCCCTCTACCGTTAGGCGAGCTAGTCAGCCCGTGGCGAATTCCGGCAATTCCTTTCGCGTTTATTTCGCGCCTATTTCGTGTTTCGCGAATTGATACGTGAAAGATCGTATCTGGCGCCCAAGTTCGATTCTCGCGATTATCTCTCGGATCTCGTCACGGTACGCGCGGAACTCCTAACATCCCGTTCCCACCTGGCGCGTGGATCTTTTTCTCCGTTTTCCCGTTTTTGTCAACGACCATTCCGCATCTCCCGTTCGGCGAATTAGCTCCTGTTCGTCGCCGCAATTTACACCCGCGCGACGGAGAGAACGAGTCGGCGGCCGCGTTTATCGCTCAGCCGCGAGACGGTAGGAAAAGTCGTCGCAAAAATTTGGCGCCCAACGTGGGGCCACGTTGAATATTTTGGAGGAGCGCAGGAGGCGCTTGGCTTTAAGGAAATTTCGGTTAAAATTAGGCTTCGCGAGAAACGGTCCTACAACGTACCTATATGTTGTCAAGATTAAGATGATCTGTGCAACTTTTTGTAAAAAATTACCAAGTATTTTTGCAAAATAAAGTACAAATCTTTTATATCCAATCAGTGTATCTCATCCGTTCATTATTATATATGTATGTATGCACGTATATTGTAGGTATATCGTCTTTTATATCGGCGTTTAAATAAAAAGATTTTTAAGCCGCGCGATATCAAAGACACGTCTACACTTCTCTTTAGTAATTTCTCTTAATATAAGATAAAATAGTTAAAACATATTTAGTATATCTGATCACAAATGATTCACACGGATATATTGGATGATTGCATAAGTTCGTGCCCGATTTTCATAGATGGCATTAAGTTACTGCATGGCGGAGTTCTATTGTTTTCGTGTGGTAATTGTTGCTTACACCGAATAGATGACGTTGTCTTATGTCAATTTAGCGTCAGACATTGTTCAGATAAGTCCATTTGTGCATAAGAGAAATCATTAAAAATGGAGAACGAAAAGGTGCATTTGCGGCATGTAATGTTATATGAATTTCGGAAAGGCGTGAGTGTTGGGATTGCACAAAAAAATATTCAAACCGTTTATTTGGACCGCGCTCCTGCTCTCCGAACAGTCAAAAAGTGGTTTGGCAGATTTCGAAATGGTGATTTCAACATGGAGGATCAACCCCGCTCTGGACGGCCTTCTGGCATTGATGATGACATTGTGCATGCCTTAGTGGAAAGAAACCCAAGGATTACAACTGAGGATATTGCTGAGAGGCTGAACATCGATAATTCAACCGCTTTTCGTCATTTAAAAAAGCTTGGATACGTTTCCAAGCTTGATACATGGGTGCCGCATCTCCTGACTGAAAGGAATAAGCTAAACCGTATGACTGTGGCTCTTTCTCTTCTCGAGCGTAACAAAAAAGAGCCTTTTTTAGATCGAATGGTAACAGGCGATGAAAAGTGGATTCTCTACAAAAACGTACAGCGAAAGAGGACATGGAAAACAGCAGCTGAAGGAGCAGAACCCGTAAGCAAAGGCTGGCTTGCATCCGATGAAGGTGTTGCTGTGTGTTTGGTGGGATCGCAAGGGAATTATTTACTTTGAGCTGCTCCGACGCGGCGAAACAATCACGGCGGACAAGTACTGTGAGCAACTAACTAGACTCGCTGCAGCTATTCGAGAAAAACGTCCGATTTTGGCCAATCGAAAAGGCGTCATCTTCCACCACGACAATGCTAGGCTACACGTCGCTCAACAGACGCTGCGAAAATTGCAGGAGTTGCAATGGGAAATTCTGCAGCACCTGCCATATTCTCCAGATATTGCGCCTTCAGATTTTTATCTGTTCCGGTCTTTGCAGAATAGTTTAAATGGCAAGAATCTCAATTCCGAGGAAGCTGTTGAAAACCACCTTACAAACTTTTTTCAAGAAAAACCAAGTTTTTTCTTCAAAAATGGAATCGACAAGCTTATAGATCGTTGGAAAACCATTGTAGAAAAGAATGGAGACTATATAATTGATTAATAAAAGTGTTATCTCTAAAATATAATCTATTGAAGTTTATATTTAAATCGGGCACGAACTTATGCAATCACCTGATACATTAGTTAACTGCGAAAGGAAGAAATCTATTTGATTTTTGCAAATGTCGGGCTTCTCCCCAACATTTGTCTAAGGCCGGGGGTGTTATGTCCTGGTGACACCACGATTCCTTCCTTCCGCGAAGTTGCGGCAATGATAATCGATCGGTGATAGAAATGAGTCGTTCGGTAAATAGAGCATCCTGCGTCACAATTCCTTAAACATTTAGTCACTTATCAATATCTATATCTACGAGTAACCGTGAGAAATACGCGATGAAACCGCGCCGACCGCCTAAAAACAAATAAAAACCAGTAGATACCCTCGCAGTAGCATTCTCAAACGCTGATAACGAAAAGATAATAAAATTCTCACAAAATATCCGATGAATACAACTAAATAAATAATGACGAAACTTTTGTGACGTCACATTTGGACTTTGTCTAAATCAAATCACGGGCGTAAGGGAAACCTAGAGCTCAAGGGATTCTGAACTGATCACCAATCGATGATCGTGATGAGTGAAAATTTGAAGAGTAGGAGAAACACCCCGCCTAATGAGGACACTGGCACAACTTTTAATTCGTTAAAGTTTTGGAAGATTCCCACTCTTAGAAATTAGAATACATCCCGAAAAGAGAGATATAAAAAGATGACTCGAAGGGACATACGATCACTTACTTACTTACTCACTTACTTACGTACTTGCTCTCCAGCTTCGACATAGTCTTATTAAGTGCGTTGGCACCGCGATACGCAAATCAGAGTTTTTAAGAATCAAAATAACTTTTATTAAACCCCCCACTCATTCCTCTAGTCGAAGGATCGCATTTGGTCCCATCCCGCGTAAAAGAGATTAAATTTTCTTACCAAAAAGGGACCACCGAACGAACGTCTGAATAACCAGCGTAACAGCGACTCAATCGTTTTCCTGCTTTTCAGACCTATCAGTTCGTTCGACCCGATTCCAAACGCCACGAGACGTTTAATTTCGGGAAAATTAAAGATAGTTGTTGCGCCCTTCCGTCGACTCATCCTTCCCCGAGTCTGGACGTAACATATATCAGTTTATAATAATAAAAAATATATATATATCAAACCTTATTTCTTCATCAGTCACAGGATTATTAATTGGCGTGAGCAAAAATGGTAAGGCAGGATATCCAGCATCTCCAACAAGCATTCCATCCTGTTCATGCTGTCTATATCGTATATATATACGTGAATTTTGAAATATTCGGCTATCGTGTTCACATCCTAGCCATTCTGGTACTATATCTACAATTTCTGTACGTGGGCCAACAATAACCTAACAATAACCTAAAATAAAGAGAAATAAACATAAAATGAATTATAATAATAGAAGAAAACATGTTGACAAAATATATTTTTATATTACATATATATATATATATACAACATAGGTGATATGCATAGGTACGCATCACACTTTAAATGTGTCTTTTTCATTTTCTTGTATATATCTTATAAAATCAAATTTATTGAAATAAAAATACATACCTAAACATTCAAAGAAAAGTATCTTTTTCGATTCCTACATATCTCCTCGATATTATGCAATCTGGTATGTACCAGACGAATATGTGTACAATCTATTGCACCATCAATAGAAGAAAGGCCTATAGCTCCAGGACCATATCCAAGCTCCTTAAATAAACGTTTATTTTCGGCTCGAGCTCCATCAGATGTTGGCATTTTTACATATCGGTTAATAAGACTTGTTATTATAAAGTCGATACCCGAAAAATGATCCTTGAAATTGTAGGTTGCGAAATTTGTATTACGTCTCCTACCATTAACTAAAAATTATATATATTATTTGAAAAAAGTTTGGTCAAATATTTCAATATACAGGGTGGTCCTCGTAACGGTCGCAACGATTTTTATTTACTTACAATAATCTGACATAAAAAAGTCATAAACAGAAATTTATCAGTTTCTAACCGGCAACAAATTGCAATAATAAAAATTGACCAAACGTTTTTTTTCCATAAAAAAGCAAGGTCACCTTCAATTTATTAAATGGAACTGCCTACTTTTTATTGCACATTTTTGTAGCTTATCTCGAGAGCTTTTCAAAACACTATAATAAAGTATTTTTTCATTAAGTACTTTTTGAGTTATTTTATACTTCGAGAACGCATAATAAGGGCCTGCAGAAGCATAAAACATTCCAGTTTAGTTGATGCTACACATAATAATTTATTGAAAAGAGCGGAACTATGTGTTGCGGAAGGTGGAATGCAATTTGAACATCTACTTTAACTAGTATGTTATTATTTGTTTACTATTTACGTTTCTAGTGAACTTCCTCGATAGCGAAGAATTACGCTTTAGCGAATTTAAAATGGTTTATTTTGTGTTGCAATGTAACTTAAAATAACATTGTGTGTACTCATTGAATTTGTTTTGCTATCCTCTACATTATTATTAAAAAAAAAAAATACAATGGTTCCATTTAAAAAAGTCAAGGTGACCTTGCTTTTTCATGGAAAAAAAATGTTTGGTCAATTTTTATTCTTGCAATTTGTTGCCGGTTAGAAACTGATAAATTTCTGTTTATGACTTTTTTATGTCAGATTATTGTAAGTGCCTTAAAAATCGTGGCGACCGTTACGAGGACCACCCTGTATATACATTTTTATATTTGTATTTATATACGCAAACATGATTAAAATATAAGATGCCTCTATTACTAACCTGAAAACTTGCTGTTGAATAAAATCGTAAACAGATCAATAATTGTACACACAGAAAAATACATACTATATACAAGTAAATATTACTTGTTTCAAGTATTTCAAAAGTTCATATATCCGCAAATCTATCATAAGTTCATCATAAGGATCAAATTTTTTCAAAATATATTCTGAATCCTAATAAATTTAATACTTCAATTAAGAATATTAAATTATATAATTGAAAGTAACACATTAAATTTTTCTGATCTAATAAATTGTCTTACATTAAATTAATCATATCTGACTTTTCTTCGATAAAATTTTATAATATTTTTCAAAAGAAAATATTTACTTTTTTTTTAGTACATGATAATGAGAATTTCTAAAATTTGTGACAAGTCTATTTTAAGAAAATATTATTAAGAAAATATTCTTTATTAAAGATAACTGTTACTTAAAAGAAGTAAAGTAAACTGAGTAATCATTTTACTTAGCAATAGAATGATATTTTTCTGTGTGTAGAATAGGAGATATTGGTAAGTCACGATTATTTGCTTTTGCGAGTCCTTCTTCTATTAATGGTAAAATACCGAACATAATTGAATTTTTCGAGAAACGAAACCTTCTTTTAAATCCCCATTCTCTTAATTCCCGTTATAACGATTTGAAGTGTATATATACACTTCAAATGGATTTTGACTATCACGGATATATCGCTTAGGAGCACGCATTTGCATCTCCTCTTCTGGTTCTTCTTTTTCAAAATCCATTATGACAAAAAATGAAATATATTTTCGTTTGTGCAATCTTCTTTTCACTATTATTTTTGACACGCTTTGCTTAAGTCACCTTCGGACACGATTTGGCGAAGACCGTCTTATTTACCGATATATATGTCACATAAAACTTAAATGACTATGAATTTATATCTAAGGAGACAATCTTAAGTCTACACTTATATTAAATAAGATATATTTATGAATCGTATTAAGATGTTCTGAAATAAGATGAACTTGGACAAGTTATGACCTGAGATTTTGCTTAAGTCTCGTCCTATATTTTAACTATGAATCTAGAGGGCGTCTTAAGGGAAGCGGTGCGCTTGGACACAATACAATTGGACACGGTGCAAATGGACACGTTGCAAATGGACATGAAATTTTGGACATGGCTCAATTGGACACAGTGCATTTGGACACAATAATTTTGGACACAGTAGCTTTTGCACATAGAAGAAAATTCATTTGGACACCGTTCAGTTGCACACCGCTCAGTTGCACACCGCTCAATCGTACACCGCTCAATTGCACACCGGTTAGTTGCACACCGCTCAGTTGCACACCGGTCAGTTGCACACCGGTCAGTTGCACACCGCTCAGTTGTAGACCGCTCAGTTGCACACCGTTCAGTTGCACACCGTTCAGTTGCACACCGTTCAGTTGTACACCGTTAATTTGCCCACCGTAGTTGTAAAACGAGGTCCACCCTGCCTACCGGCGGGGTGGGTGCGGGAGGGGGGCCGAAGGCCCCCCTTGCACCGCCCCGTGTGTGTATGTGTATGTGTGCAACTAAGCAGTGTGCAAATTAACGGTGTGCATTTTTATGTGTCCAACTGAACGGTGTGCATTTTTATGTGTGCAACTGAATGGTGTGCAACTGAACGGTGTGCAACTGACCGGTGTGCTACTGACCGGTGTGCTACTGAACGGTGTCCAAATGAATTTTCTTCTGTGTCCAAAATTATTGTGTCCAAATGCACTGTGTCCAATAATTGACCGGTGTGCTACTGAACGGTTTTCAAATGAATTTTCTTCTGTGTCCAAAATTATTGTGTCCAAATGCACTGTGTCCGATTAAACCGTGTGCAAAGTTTCGTGTCCATTTGCAACGTGTCCATTTGCACTGTGTCCAATTGTACTGTGTCCAAGTAAAGGCCACTCCGTCTTAAGACTGTACTTAAAACGATCTTAAATATAAGAACGGACTATGAATACGGGCTTATGTCTATGGTAGCGCCTATAGACTTATAGAGATAGACTGCGCGTCTCTGTGGAAAGACTGTCTTAAACATTAGAAAGAGAGAGCGATAGTGGTTGGATCTCTTTCACTCTCGCACAGTTGAAGAAGAGGGGATATCGCGGCTGGCGGAGAATGAACAGTTTGCGAGTATGTGCGCTTTTTCCTCGCTTCTACGTTCATTCTCCGTCATATCTCGTGATATCCCCTCTCCTTCAACTGCGCGAGAGAGAAAGAGATCCGACCATTATATCTCTATCCTTCAATGTTTAAGACAGCCAGACCGTAAGAGCAGTGATGCCAGAAACTGACTCCGGTAGCATGAGATAGCATGTGGAAAAGATACACACACAATCGAAAACCGTATATGTCTCACATGAATGTTGTTTTCTATTGTTGTGTTATCCCCTCCACATGCTACCGCATGCTACCGGGGTCAGTTTCTGGCATCACTGCGTAAGAGCGCGCAGTCTATCTCTATACATCTTTCGTTTTTGATATATAATCAAGATACAAGACGGATTAATCAAACAATTTATAGCATAGCACAAGCATATAATAATATATTTTAATTTTAAAGATAATAATTTTTTTAAAAAAAGAATGTACAAATAGATATTGTTCAATAGAAATCAAAGAAATAAAAGGGTTGCTTTTTATAATTCAGAAATATAATAGATATATTAATTTTATCTGACTGCTCGTAAACATGTGTATAGTAGCAAAACATGTATATGACACATGTTTTCTTAATAAAAAATTTCTTTCACTTAAATATGTTCCACTATTTTAATCACATTGCAAATTGATACAATTCTTAATATTAGAAATAATAATAAATCAATTTTGTAACATAAATTTTTATTATTTGGCGCAATATTTTCATCATAAATCACATTATTTTTGTAGAAAATTAAAACAACTATTTTGTGAAACAGTTTTTTAGTTTGGATGTGACAGTGTTTTTGTATTAAAATAATTAAAATAACACTATTTTGATAATATCTCTGCTTTATAGAACAGGCAGAGCGAAAATAAAGACACTTTCCTTATATAAATCGAACCCAAGCTATCGATTAAGCTTATCAAGAATTCGATCGGTTCAGCCGTTATTCAGATCTGGTAATCTAAGGTACTCTCAACTATCCGACTCGCGTATAGATACCCGGAGTGTGCCTCGCTATTACTACGCGTGGTCTTTGCTTCGCTTGACTTGGCGCGAGACACTACCGTGTCTCTTGATATATCTTATAAGTCTATGGTAGCGCCGTGACCCCTGTACATAGCAAAACTGCAAAACTGTTGACAAGCCAGTAAGTATTTTTGTACTTGGCATCACGACGCTACCGTGTCGCTTGATCTTTATGACATTAATTGTAAGTGGTTATCAAACAAGTGTTAATAATACGCGCCCTGCCGAAAATGGTCGATTAAAACCGATTAAAACATAATCGGTTTTAATCGGTTTTAACCGGTTCAATCCGCGCCGAATTAAAAAGTAATCGATTTTAAATCCGAACGAACTATAATCGGTTTTAATATCGCTTTCGCGGATTATTTCCAATCTGAAATCATTACATTCTAATCCATATTGTTGTCAATCCAAATAAACACGAATAATCGATTGGATATTGTGGCTGCCATAGGTCGTCACATTAACCACAATCCGCGATACAGTAGCGCGACCCGCAACTTGGCGACCACGCGCTCGCGCGTCCGCGCATAGTTCCGGGGCATAGCTACGCGGCGAAGGTCGAGCGAGCTAACCTGGAAGTAAAAAGCGGTCAAGCGGAGATATAAGGCGGACCCCCTGCGGAGAAATCGTATATCTGTTTTTAACAACTGAGTCCGTTTCAATTGCAGAAACACTGATTTAATAATTGATTGTGACTCATGATAACAGCAAATCCGACTTCACACTATAAAATCGATTTACTTTTCATCTGCGAAATGATAAAATTTTTTATTAAAAGAGATTATTTTTATCTATGGATTGACTATGGTAAATTCCAATTCAATTGCATTAAAACAGGTTTAATTATAACTTATAAAATCGTATAAGTAGAGTATCTATGCGGGTTCTAAGCCTGGTCCTCTGAGGGGGGTGAGTGGCGAGGGGAAACCGGCGCGGGGGCTATGACGTCACGCGGGAGGAGGGGGGTATGACGTCACGCGGGAACCGCGTCCTAACCAGTAGGCGAGGGGTTCAACCGCGTCCTAAGCAATAGGCAACGGGTTTGACCGCGACCTAACCGGTAGGCGAGGGGTCCGCAGAGAGGGGGAGGTGGACCGCGTCCTAACCGGTAGGCGAGGGGCCCGCGGAGAGGGGGAGAGGGGCCGCGTCCTAACCAATAGGCGAGGGGTCCGCGGAGAGGGGGAGGGAAACCGTGGCAAAACCGATAGGCGAGGGGTCCGCGGGGAAGAGGGAACGCGAAGGTACGATGCCGCGAGTAGGTGTGAGAATGATAGCGCGAGGCGTCCGCAATGTGTGGGAGAAGGATAGCGCGAGGCGTACGCATGCATGTGTGAGAGAGATAGCGCGAGGCGTGCGCATTCATGTGAGAGAGGGATAGCGCTAATGATATTGGAGAGAGATGGCGCGAGGCGTCCATATGAGCGTAAGACAAGGATAGCGTTTGCATACACGTTGGAAAAGGGTGGCGTTCGCATACACGTTGGAGAGAGATGGCGCGAGGCATGCACTTGGGAGAGAGATAGCGCGAGACATGCACGTGGATGATGCGAGATACGGCGTTCGTAAGGCGGTGCAAGAAGGATAGCGCGAGGCACGCACGCGTGTAGGAGAAGGATAGCGTCCGCATTGGCGTGGGAAAAGGATGACGTTTGCATGCACTTGGGAGAGAGAGACAGATAGCGCCAGGCATGCACGTAGGAAAAGCAAAGAAGAAGGTGCAGAAATAATTGACATTTTTTATATAAAATAAAAATATTTATTTTAAAATTGTGTATATCATATAAATGTGTGTGTGTGTGTGTAAATTAAAAAATAATAATCAAAATAATAATGAGAATAATAATAATATAAAATATATAATAATAAAGTGGCGCTCCATCTGAAACAGAAAAGATACAAGTCTTA